GTGTATAAATTTTTTGAGACAAGGTCTTATGTAGTCCAGGCTAGCCTTGTGCTCATTAGGGTATCCAAGGATAACCTTAGATTCTTGACTTTCCTGCCTCTGCCTCCTACATTCTGAGATTACAAGTGTTCATTACTATACCTGACCCATAAAGGAGATTTTAGGCATCACACCCTGACCTTTAAAGATCAAAGGCAACTTTCCCAGAGAGGCCACATGGAGTGCGAAAGAACTTAGAGCTTGGAGTGTTCCACCCCATGCATACCCTGCCTTCTTCAGCATCCCTGGGTGGCTACAACCTGATCTTACCTTCTTTCATCAGTTTACCCACAGGTGAAATGGGTCGTAGGAACTGTGGGGTCTAAGTGGGAAAGACACGTGTAACAAGGGCCATTCAACAGCTCAGGAAGGCCATTCCATCTGCCACCCTTCCAGGGCACCGGCCTTGGAGCGGGTTCTAGCAGTCTGCAGTGACCACATTTGTGGCTGCACTGTTCGCTGGTCTCCAAGCCACTACCTAGTCCTCCTTTCTCAATTCTTAAATTGTCTCAGCCGTAATCAGGGGAACAAAGGCCAGGGAAGCCAAGATGCCACCTGCCTCCTTCTTTAGTGAGGTTTCTCTTTCTCGTGTGTATCTGTGTGTGTAGCATCTACACATAAGGGTGGGTCGGGTCATCAGGACCAGCCCTATGAAGCTTGCCCTTCAAGGTGGAGAATTATACAGTAGCTAAGGAGCGTGAATGTAAGACTACATTTTAAGAAATCTGGGATGAGAGTAGCAGATAATGAAGTAAAGAATGATGGAGAGAGCTGGGAGAGTGGGGTGAGCATCCTCACTGAGCTGTCTGGAAGCTCCTGTGCTTTCCAACTGAGCATGTCCAGAAGCTCCTGCTGAGCAGGTGGAGTTCATAGGAAGGTCTGCAGACAGCCTAGGACTGCCTGAGCCCCGCAGAGACCTAAATGACAAGCTCCCAGGTCAAGGGGGCTCCCCAGAGATAACCTGCTAGATGAGTGGACCCAGAAGGTGGGCAGGGCACGATGGGTGCACAGAAGGTGGTGCCACCAACCCCAGAGCCAGGAAAGAGCCAGGGAAAAAAAAGGTTGGAGGTAAGAGGCTGTTTTGCAAGTCTCTGGAATGAGAGAAGGAAAAAGAGGAAGGGGATCCCTGAGGAGGAGAGAGCTAGAGGCTTGAGGGAGCAGGTGCCACTGGAGGGGGTCTTGCCTGAGGAGCCTTTCAAAGATAGGAAGAGCGCTGGAGGGGAGGGGTGGTTCAGAGATCTTGTGCTTGCCTAGCATGCACAAGTAAGTCACTGGGTCTCATCCCCAGCACTGCAAAAACAAACAGGCAAGGAAAACATCTTCCTCAGACTGGCCTGGAACAGGTCCAGCCCTGCAGCTGTCAGCTTGGAGGTCAGGGAAAGCTTTCAAACTCCCACCCACTGGGCTCAGGCTCTAGGTCTGGAAAGTTGACCTTGAAAAGGGCAGATGCTTGTCACAGCTAACCCAGGATGGCAGTGCTGCCCGGCTGCAGAGCATGCTCTCTGGCTTCTGTAACCCTACCCCAGCCTGATACCTGCGGTGCAGGCTGCAGAAGCTTGGGGAGAGGTTGTGCTGCCTGGAACAGGAAAATCAGCTGTCTGTGGTAGAGGTTAGAGGGGACAGTAGAGAAAGGCAGAGCCTGCTGCTGCCTTACACAGGCTTCTGCCTCCTCTGCCCTGTGTCCCACCCCTCTGTCCAGCAATGGGTTTCTTTCCGATCATCCTCATTCAGCTTCAGGCTGGCATTGAGAAAGAGCATGTTTCCAAGACTGGCTCTGCCACGGATTCTTTAGAACCTTTGGAGGCTCACCCTTCTGTGTCTCCGTGCCTCTTGTAACCTGAGATAATATGGAGAGAGAGTCATAGGGTCAGGAAAGCGAACTACCAATCACAGTGCAGGCAGCATGCTGCAGTGGTCAATACATCATAGATATCATTTAGATAAGATGTTTGCCTTGACTGAGAAGAACACAGGCAAAGTCCAGAGCACTTGGGGCCCAGCCTTGCCACCTGTGAGACACAGGATGATGTCTCTATCCTCTCATCAGTGGCTTGTCTGGGACACATTTCCAACATGCCTACCTCTGAACACAGTTGTTAATAATTACCCCACCCCCTTACACTCCCAAATGTCTGAGTGGAAGACAGATCACCTGGTGTCTCTGCCATTAGATGACTATGACAGTTCCACCCTCAAGGGCTTGGATAAGAACAAACGGAGAAGTGTGCCCTCTTATCATCAGCCTCTGGGAATCTTCACACACATCCTGCCCGTAGCAAAGATAGGCAGAGATTTGCATCCTGTGACAGCCAGTCATTCAGACACCAGAGCCTTTGAGCAACAACAGTGTGCTGTGGAATGAGGAAAAGTCAGTTCTCCAGCCAGCTGAGTCTCAGCTCCACTAACCTATTGAGCCTCTGCCCTCCCCAGGTCCCTGAGGAGCCCCTCACCAAATGGACCTGCCCACCTGGCCCAGCACTACTTCCTCTGTCTGCGCTGTTTTCCCTGAAGTAGACTAATTTAGCATTTTGGGATTAGTCACAGCTGGATTGCTTTCCTCTCTAAGCATTTAGGAGCTGATTAAGCTGAGATCTCACCAGGGTGATCCCAGCCTCTTGGCTGACTCTGAGGAGCCTCTGATGCTCTGCTGTAAAGCTGATCTCACTCCGGGTGTTAAAGCAGCAGGTGGAACACATGTCAACAGGAACTCAGGACAGAGAAAGTCTGTGTGGGCTTCAGTCTTGAGTAAAATGGGACCTGGAAAAAGCCAGGATGGGCTTCCTCAGGAAGGACTTAAAACAGGTTTCCTTGGGAGACTCCAGGAGACAGCAGCAGTGGGCACCAGGCCAGAATAGAAGGTACCCTGAGGAGCAATATGGCCCCACCAAGGAGTTCTAGGAAGCTACAGGAGAAAACATATCCCACAGGAAGGACTTAGAGCAACTTTCTTTTGGGGCAATATAACCTATCCCTCTGCCATGTGGAAAACCAGCCAAGGCTTCAGCCAGGGTGCCACCAGCAAGTGAAGGTGTCACAGATACCCTGAGATGGTGGGAAGTTTAACAAATGTTGTTAAACCTGTTCCAGCCTCCTGGGTCCAAACCAGATAAGGAGACCTTCCTGGGCCAAAGGTGCTGCTCCTTCAGAGCTAGGCTGTGGACATCCAGTTCAAAAAGCATCTCTAGTGGGAGCTCTGTCATTTGTGTTCACTGAGTGAATAACCTAATACATCCATTCTGCAGTCTTGAAGACCAAGCCCTAGGTGTAGGATGTGATGGCCTCAGTTGGCCCTCCTCCAGGGTTGACTTTTAACTGCGGTACATCCCAGGTTGAGTCCCCTCCCCCTCCCCACCCCAATGCAAGACTTCTTTTCTTCTGTGCTCACCTGAGAAGTAAAGTACCCCAGGAAAACCTGCATCTTCCATGTTTTCTGAAAGATGAACTCCACCCCAGCCATGACTGGGGCTTGTTCTGATAAACTTCGTGTTTCTTAGCTGAATGTTTGCCATTATAATGTGGTGTGCCCTATGGTTAATTAGAATGAGTAGGGCCAGTTTGAACTCCCATGGCCCATTTCTCTTGAGACTTCAACAGCTTCTGTCTCTGACAGGAGGTTCTGGAGGCCACTGTTTCAGCATGAGCATCGCTCTGGAGTGATGAGCAGAGAACTCTCTGAGAATGGAAACACACTGGTTGGCAGCAGGGAGGGGAATGCCAGTTTCTTTGCATGATTGTTCTATGCAAATCTAAGTTGGGATTACTGTGCTTCTGTGATGACCCAGGGAGTCTTCTTGGAGCACTTGCCAATACTTCCCATCCCCACCCCACACATACACTAGAGTTCTCAACTGCTTGTTTCCCGCTGATAACCCTGGCTGATTCCCTACTCTCCCTCCAACTGACCCTGCAGTTCAATAGTCCTTCAAGATGACTTTGTGTGCCACCTGCCTAGCTGCCCCTGCCTACAGGTGTACCCCTGTGGTAGCCTGCTCTAAGGGTCATGGGCTATGTTAGTATTTTCCATCATTCTGACGAATAACTGGAAGCATGTATTTAAAAGATCATTTTGGCTCACAGTCTCCGAGAGTTTGGGTCTACAGGTCACAGCAGGTTTTCTGGGCCTGGTGTGAGGTATATAGAACCACAAAAGACTGATGGACAGAGCTGCTCACTCTGTGACAGACAGGAAGCAGGGTGAGAGGAAATGGCCAGAAATAATGCCTATTTGTCCAGGGCATGTCTCCAGTGAAGGCAGAACACCGTGGAGAGAGGATAGGGCAGAGATGTTAACAGACAGGAAGGGAGAGAGAATTGACAGAGAAAGAGGTGGCCAGCAGCAGCCAGTACCCTTTGAGGACATGTCTTCCCTTCCTCTAACTAACACCGTCAAGTGATTAATCTGTTGATTAAGTTGAAGTCCTTATGAGTCAGTGACATCTCAAGATTACATCCACCAGCTAGAGGACAAATCTTCAACTGTGAGCCTTTTGGGTGACACTTCATATCCAAACCACAAGTGTCCTGATTTGAAGACCAAGGCTCAGATGCTGTGAGGTCATGTAAGGTGGTGAGGCTGATTGACAAGCAGGAAGTTGGTGTCCATTAATTGCATTTTAACCCAAGATAAGTTTATAGGAACATGATCCAACTCTAAATGAAGCTGCATCCATAGTTCATGAACGTCTGTTGCTTTGAGCATCATGCAGGTCCATGTAGTACTGTGTCTGTGCCTGATGTCAACCTGGGGCCTATTCCTCCTTTGACTAGGTCAGGGAAATGTTTGTGTCTCTGGAACCCAGGCTGAGGACTGCTAAGAGCACCAACCCTCCCTCATGCAGGTACAGCTGCTGGTACCTAGATAGCATCCTTACATTATGGCAGTCCATGGCCTGGCTATGGATCCCGTGTTAGGGGTGAGGTCTGCTCAGGGGTTCATTCCTGTCCCAATTCTCCCCTCACAGGTGGGATCCCGTTCATCCTGACCGGAGAGTTCTTCCAACAGTCAGAGCGGCCGGCAGCCTTCATTATCGCCGGCACAGTCAACTGGCTCTCCAACTTCGTAGTAGGGCTCCTTTTCCCCTTCATCCAGGTATGCCTGACAAGGGAGCCTACAGCCATCACGTTGCCTAGGCACTCTGAGACGTGATGAAATTTGTCTGGCTACACTCTGATATCTCTCTCTGTCTCTGTCTCTCTGTGTCTGTCTCTCTCTGTCCTCTCTCTCTCTTTCCGTCTCTCTCTTTCTCTCCCTCTTTCTCTCTATTCATGCTATTGTCCCAAGGAAGGACAGATATGTACTTTGACTAAGATTCTCTTCTCCCTCCTGTCCCTCCTCCCTCTTGTCCTTTTCTTCCTTCTGTCCCTTTTCCCTTCCTAATGCACCTCTTCTCTCAATCCTCTGTATCCCTCCTTCTTCCTGTACCTCCCTCTTATGCCCCCTTTCACCTTCTGCCCATCCTCCCTCCTGTCTCGGAGCTAGCCATGTCTCCTGAAGAATGGGTCACTTACTGGTGAGTATGTGCTGAAATCCTAGATTGTGTTTTGAACCTATGACTTACAGATCACTTTTCCAATATGCTTACCACTGGATCCGACAAATATCATAGAAATGTAGTAATACACATCCTACACATACTCCAAGCCTCCCAAAGAAAACAGTGATTGGTTGGAAAGTGCCAACATACACCAGAACCAGATGCAAATACACTGGCTAACTTAGTAATTCAACATAGGGTTTGCAGTGTTTTGGGCATCAAAAATGAGTGGGCCCCAGCCTGTGGTTCTGAGGCATGTGAGTGGTCCCGAAAGACTTCTTAAAAGAAGCAACCTTGGAGTAGAGGCATGGGAAAAGTAAGGAGCAAGGCAGTCTGGGAAGTGCAAAGTCCAGGCTAGTGTAAGAGCAGTGCAGAAGCCCTGAAGCTGGGTCATGCTTGACCTAGGGTGGGGTTTGGGTGGGGTGACAACATCAGGACCAATATGGCAGCCGCAGGGATAGGCAGATAGCTGACTGAGCAGAAAGTGAGCTCACAAAGCTATCCATAGGTTAGAACATGAAAGACAAGGACTTGGCAAGGGTTCTGCACAGAGACAGGGCCCAGCAGCATTCAATCAGAAGGTGAAACTTCCCTGCTCCAACACCCTCCAGTGCTCCCTGATGCCCATGATACAGCGGAGTCCACCTCCAAATGGTGAGACTACATCATATATACCTCCAAGAGACAGTCTGCCATCTCTCCCCAAAGGGAAGTTCCTCCCTGACCCACTGTTCTTAAATCTGGTCAGTGCTTCTTAATTTGCTAGGGGCAGCCCAGCATGTCCCAGCCATCCTAGTCCAAGCCAGAGGAGTGAGAAGGCCCTGTTCCCAGCACATCATCCCCAGAATCAGCACAGCTTCAGACCTATCAGAAAGTTACTTCTCCCTCAGCTGCAGACCAGTCCCTCTGTGCCACAGCCCACAGGCATGGCTTCCCTGCCCATGTCACCTCCCACAGCCCTTGGCTGGACTTACACTTGATCCTCTTACAGACAAGTCCACTGAGGCGAGGGAACAGGTGGTCATCCCAGGCTCCACAGGGCCCAATTCGGCCTGCTTCTCTCTGTGCTGGTCTGCCATGTGTTGCAGTCTCCTCAACCCAGCAACTAGAAAATGGGTGCCCCGTGCACCTCTCAAATCATATTTGGCTGCTTTTAATGTCTTCCCGTCTCAGGTGCTACAAAGCCCTTCTGTGGGCCACAGGATACAGAGGGGTCCACACTCAGCACTCCTCTCCTTGTGGTCCCTTGCCAGCTGCAGCCAGGACGTAACAAGCTCATTTTTCAATTGACTTCATACCCTCAGTGAGATTTTCCTGTCTGATTAAAAGCTAGCAGGCAAAGCCTGGAGTCAGTAAAGCATCCATTACATGGTGACAATGAACTTGAAGTTGCCTGTTGATCTTTTCTACTCATTTGCAACTGAGCCTTCCCAGGCTGTCTGGGTCTGGGAAGCAGGTCTCTGTCTTCTAAGCACCTGGGGGTGGGCAAAGTAGAAGATCTTATGGACACTACAGTACTAATGGCATCCTGCCAGGCTGGGAGTGAAAAGCATCCATTGGCTGTTCACACAAACATCTAGTAAGTACTTTCTCTAATGCCGGAAAACCTTCAACCAGGAGGTACAGGCTCCAGCAGCCCTTCTGGGAGACTCCAAAGGTCACTCCCACCGTACATGACAGAGCCAGAATCTGAACCTGAGCTCTTTATCCTTACCTATAAGACAAGGAGAAAAAGAGAGCTCTGGTACTCAGCAGATGACCCTATTCTAAAGGCCCACTTCAACTTGAGTTGAGTTTTAATTTATCCACAAAAAAAAATCACTTACAGATACAGATAAAAATTTATACAGAGGGAGTCTCTCATCGGTGTCTTCCACAGAGCTCTGTGTTGTGTGGTGTGTGTGTTTGTGTGTGTGCGTGCATCTGCTGGAGAGGGCTCCAGCTGACTCTGGGGCCACTTGACCTTTATTTCACATCACTCAGATTTGCAAATCATTCCCCATCTGCACATCCCTCTGGTGGCATCACAGTGCTGCGTCTCATTTGACAGTTTCCCATGCATCTGGGACCCGGATTCTATATTCAGTTTCATTCAATGCAATTATCCCGGCCCACTCAGTTGGCTCACTTGTCAATGAGGAAATCACAGAGGCAGCAATGACCACCCATGAGGTGATGGCTACGTATCAACTCTCTAGGCAGCCATTCTGTAGAGTGGAAGTTCTAATTCCTTCCACGGATCAGTCAGCATGGGCTGCATGTTCCACAGGAGGCCTGTAGACAGGAGAGAGGCTCCTGTTTCCATCCCCTACTTCATGTAACTCATTACAGCAGCCATTGAGATAAATACAAAACAAGATAAACAGTCAAGTGACCGAATAAAGCTATCCCCATGTAGCTGGCTCTCCCTAGACATGTCATGTAGTGTGATTTATGTAATCTCACAACAGGTCTGTTAAATGTATGTGCCCACTGGCCTCCTTTTACAGACAGCAGCTGATGCGCAGAAATGTCAAGTCACTGCCCTGGGTTTGCCCAGCTAACAAGTGCTAAAGATGGGATTAAACCTATATGCTCAAGAGTGTCCATTCTCAACCACTGTAGTACACAGCCCTAAATCTCAGGCAGTGACATCCACACAGAGGGTGGAAGGGTGCGAATGATGTAAGGGGCTCTGAACAACATTTAGGTTGTGTCTTATAAAATCTCTGGAGCTCATTGTTCTGGCTAGAAGAATAACTGGTCTCAGCCATCCCTGACATTTGAGTATGCTCTGTGGCTAAGAACAAGCCTACATCAGGCTTGCATTGCCTGGGCTCCTGCCAAGGAGATATGTTAAATAGTTGTGGGTCCCTAGGGTGCTAATTAAGAAGGCAGGCCAAGCATGTGTCTTATTTTTATTCTATCTATCTATCTATCTATCTATCTATCTATCTATCTATCTATCTATCTATCTATTCATCCATTTATTTATTCACAGTGTGTGTGTGTGTGTGATGTTGCATGTTGCATGTTGCAGGACAGGATGGTGCAGCCTGGGAAACTCTGTGTAGAGTACTTAGTGAGCAGGAGAACTGTGGCTCAATGCTCAGCACTTACAGGCAGAGAGAACTTAGCCTTGCCTGTCAGCTCTGCAGCTCGCAGGCTATGTGACCCTGGGCAGGTTCCTCACAGTCTTCAGACCGCATTGTGTGTTGAGGGCAATAGCCGCATCTACTCTCTGCGCTCTTGTGGGGATCTGTGGTATAGAGATGAGAAGTCTTTAGACACAAGGGGGAGGCTCAGTGGACAAAGTGCTTGCTGCACAAGTATGGGGCCTGAGTTCAAGTCCCCAGAACTCAAAAAAAAAAAAAAAAAAAAAACTGAGTGCAGAGACACATGCCTGTAGTCCCAGTGCTAGAGTGGAGATGCAGAGCTCCTTAGGGCTTGCTGGCCAGCCACTCTAGCCAAATCAATAAGACAGACCCTGTCTCAAAATAAAATGTGCAGAGTGACTGAAGAAGACATACGACATCAAACTCCGGTTTCCACATGCACACATGCATACATGCACACACTAATAATAATAATAATAATAATAATAAAATTTAGGAATCACCCTTACACTTGACAGGCCACAGCTTGGGCAGGGAGAGGAGGAAAGTGCCTGTAAGGACGAGACAGCTCCTGTGAGGAGATGCTCTCTTCTAGCTGAGCAGACTGCATAGAACCCTTATCACACCTGGAAAGACTGCCCTTAAGTGATGCCACATTCACAGGGACCAGAGCCTAGGATTTCAGTGTGCCTTTGGGAGAAAAAAGTTTACAGGTACCTTTCTATCGTGACCGGCATGCCCTAGGATGTTTGCTCAAAGCTATCTCAGACAACCCAAATCTTAAAACATTGGTCAGTCTCAAGCAACCTGGGAGAGCACCAGTCACCACCACACCACCATCATGTCCCACACGATCTTCTTGCCTCAAGCCCCAGCCTAAGGCAGGACCCACAACACTGTGTTTGTTGGTTGGTTGCTGTTATTGGTCCAGGCAGTGTGTTAGCAAAACCTTCTGGATTAGTAGCCTTTGGAATCAAACAAGGTGACCTTGAGTTCTGCTTGTCCCCCTCGGCAACATTGAGGTCAGGGGCAGAGTAATTCTAACTATCCCTGATGACTGTCATTGTCTTATCTTTGAAACAAGAGCATTGCCTGAGTTTTGCAGCTGAGCTCTCAGGAGACTCAGATTTGCATCTACATGGTGTCTGCATGGGACCTACAACAAAGCTTGTTGTCATTATGACCATCGTAAAGCTGTTGTCTGCGCTGATATCTTAGACTGAGACGCAGGGGAGAGATGAGTGGGGAAGGGAGTATTGGAGGCAGGGAGGCAGGGGGATAAAGAGAGAGGGAAGAAGGGAGAGAGGAAGAGAGGAAAGGAGAAAAAGGGAATACCAACACCTCCAGGGCACAAGCAGCCAGAGAAAACACCAGGGTCTTCTAGAAGCAATAATCAACATCAGATGCTATGATGAAGTCTTGAAACTCCAAAGAGTAACCTGCGTCTCCAGGATGCAGGGAGCTCATCTGAGATCCACCACCGCACAAGCAGCAGAACACGATAAGGGTTTTTGCTGTCATGGAGGACTGGACTGAACCCAGTGTGAAGGATGGACAGGCACTTCCTAGTGCGGACATGATCTCTGGCCACTTCTTTCCAAACATGGAGACTATTGTGGCAGGAATGAATCATTCCAGCTCAGCACCTTTTTGCTTTTGATAAAGAAACTGAATAGCTACTTCTAAACCTAACCTAGAATTTTATTAGGTTATAATTTCACCACCTCCAGAGCACTTTGGGGTTTTGTGACCTTGTATTTAGGATGATCCCACCTCTGACCCCACCCACCAAACAAAAAAACCCATACAAAGCAACCCATAGGCTCACTCTGTGGGAGCTGGAGTCTGCATTCCTAACCTGCACTTCTCTTTCTCTTGCTCTGAGAAGCAGTTATCCCTTCTTGGCTCTGATTCACAGGAGTAGTGGGGGAAAAGCTAAGAATTTTTTTTCTTAATTTAAAGGACCTTTTCCTAAAAGTAGTATTTTTCCAAATTACCTTGTATTTTTAGCATAATCTAACATTCTACTGTATTGTGAGACGAAATGTTCCCCTCTGGATTACTTTCATGGCCCTCTGATGACATAAAAGATGCATTTTCAGAAGGGATGCAACAGTGGCTAGCAGCACTCCTGAGAGATGGAATGGGGTCATGAAGAGGGGTGAGTGCTTTCACCAAGGTGGGAGAGCTAAGTATCCACCCCAAGTCAGGCTCCACCACCTCCATCAGGTTCCATGAGTATGGGTCTTAACTGATACACAGCCCAGTGTCACTGCTTAGCCACCTCATCTGCAAAATCATGCCATAGCAGTAAGGTGAACGTAGCTAGATAGCAATTCCCAGGACAATAAGGAAGGTAGCAATCAGAAAGCAGTTGCTAATGTTATCACTGACTTTGTCCAGTCTTGTCCTCAGCACAGGTCAGGGTCCAACAAGAGGCAAGGCAGCGTTAGAGAGGAACACTGTGCTGAGTTTCAATCCAGCCCTGTCCTCTTCTAGCAATATGAACTTGACATGTAACACAAGCTGTCTTGGCAGGGGCAAAGATACTCTAAAGAAACTCCAAAGAGTAACACTTATACCTCACCCATTGTCACCATTGAAGTAACCAATGTACTGAAAGGAATATCGTGATTCGAAGGAAAAGGTTTGAATACGCATGGTCCACATAGACTCCTGTGTTTGAATGCTTGGCCCATAGGAAGTGCCACTATTAGGAGGTATGGCCTTGTTGGAGGAAGTGTGTCACTGTAGGGGCAGGGTTTGAGGTCTCATATGCTCAAGCTACACCTAGTATGGCAGTCTCCATCTGCTGCCAGCAAATCAAGATGTAAAACTCTCAGCTCCTTCTCCAGCATCATGTCTGCCTGAGTGCTGCCATGCTTCCCACCATGACAAAAATGAACTGAACTTTCGAACCTGTAAGCCAGCCCCAACTAAATGTTTTCCTTTATAAGAGTTGCTTTGGTCATGGTTCCGGAATATAGGTAGTTCTTAGTTGGCTAACAAGGAGATCAAGGTGTTAGTGGATCTGGTGAAGGTTGTTCTCTGTTTCCAAGATGGTGCCTCCTGGTGTCTTTGCATGTGGAAGGAGGTAGAAGGGTGAGAGGAGTCTGTCTAGTTCCCTTCTTTCAGGTATGAAGGAATCCCATTAGTGATAGATCCACTCTCATGATTTAGTTGCCCGAGAAAGGATTCAGCTCCAACACGGTGGTTTGCAGAACTGTATCAGAGACTCATCAGTGCTTTTCATCCAGGTGTCCACCACGGGCTCAGTGTCCAAGAGATGGCGTCTCTCACCCCACTTCTCACACACCTTTTCCCCTGAGACTCATAATGAAGGAAGGGCACAAGTGTTCTTTCCCCAGATGTTGCAGGTGCTGTGAATTTTGTGAAACAGAATGATACAAGTGACCTCATGGTATCCTTTGGGAAATGAGCCAAGCACATAGCAGCTCAGAGGTAAAGACAACCCAGATAGCTCCAGGAGCGCCCTGGATAGGTAGAGAGCCTCAGCAAGCATCCACTGCTGGCCTTCTGTCTATCCACCACTCCCTGCATTCTGCGGATACAAGAAAAGACAGGTATTGAGTTAGCCTGCACACAGGAATGCAGACCATAAAACTCATCCCATTTCACCACAAAACAATGTAAGGATAAACATCACCACGTTTCAAATAAGGGAAGTTAACTCTGGGTGGTTTGAAATTCTGTCTTAAGTGGCTCATCTTCTCTGTTGGCACAGACTCTCTGACAGCTGAGCTCCTGATTCTCCCCCTTCCCTCTTCATGGCTCACAGACTCTCTGTGGACAAACAAGGTGCCTCCCTTAAAGCAAGGCACCCTTTACCACCCACAGTCCCACAGTGCTTTGAAGGGGAATTATTCTTTACAACAAGCCTATGGATCTGATATTGTCCTTGTTTCACACAGAGGCACCGTGAGTCTAAATGTGATTGACCGGAGGATCCGGAATGTATGAGTGCCTAGGCTGTTAAGCGCTGTAAGCTCGTTTTTAATCAGAGATGAAATGGAATTGATGAAATCCCTAGCATTACTTCTTGGGAAGTGCCACTCAAAACCACTGTCATCTTGTCTTTAATCAATAGTTATTTGTAGTATGAAGGTGTCAGGCCTGGCAGCTGTAACAAGGAAGCCTTTGAAGGGAGAGAAGACAGGCGATCATATATCCAAAAGTTGGTTTGAACTACCCATGACGTCAAGTATGACCATGAATTTTAGGGTCCTCCTCAGATTATTGATGTGTGTCTTGCAGCCAGCAAGTCCCATCCTGTCCCTGCTCCCACCCCAAGTGCTGGGGTCAAAGGCAAGTTTAGTGTGCAGCCACACTTGGCTTTTTCCATGGGTGTTAAGGATTCAAACTCATCTTCTCTGTTGGCACAGACTCTCTGGCAGCTGAGCTCCTGATTCTCTCCTTCCCTCTTCATGGCTCACAGACTCTCTGTGGACAAACAGAGATGCTTGCTCAGGAGCCATCCTCCCTAGCTGAGAATCGTTTATTGAACAAACCTTTACTGAAATCTAAGCATCATGCCAAGAGCCACAGAAGCATGAGAGTCCCTGGAAAGCCCAGAATCCTACTGAGTTCTAATCAAGACACAAGCAACAGTGACTACACCCAGCATCTATCTTTTAGTTTTTCTTTTCTGTGCAAGACTGGACCAGTTAATGAGGTAGATTTTGGGCATATCAAGGGTGGGGGAACACATATATCCTTGATACTATGCTCTATATCTTTCTTACAAAGTGGGACTTTACAGTTGTCTCGTGTCTCGTGGGAGGAGGAAGGATGCAATGAAACCTAAGATCATATTCATCAGGGATTACATTTTCTTCTCTTAATCATCAGTTTTTAGACACCTTCTTTGAAAAGAAAGTGCAGAACAATGAAGACTGTTTTTTTTTTCTCACTATGGTCATGGTGGGGAACTGACTTAATCCCTACTTTCTTTGAGACTCGCTCGTGTCATATGGCCCCATCCACCTCTTGTGGCAGCAGCAGTCAGTGCTAGCTGCAGAGACGAGTCTTGTAATGTGGCTTCACAGCCAGCTAGCTAGTTTGCTGACTGTTTACTGGCTGTTGTTGTTTCTCCCTTTCCACAGAAAAGCCTGAACTCCTACTGCTTCCTCGTCTTTGCCACAATATGTACTGCAGGTGCTATCTACTTCTATTTTGTCCTCCCGGAGACCAAGAACAGAACCCACGCAGAAATCAGCCAGGCATTCGTCAAGAGGAATAAAGCTCACCCCCCAGAGGTGAAGGCTGACTCAGCCATGGTAGAGGAGAAGGCCAACAGCCAGACTGAGCCAGACCCATCTTCCACGCTGGACAGCTATGGCCAAAACAAAATTGTCTAAATGTATGTTCTTGTTACAGTAACCCAAGAAGGTTTCAGGTGACCAAAGCCATGTGAGAGTCTTATGCTGGGGAGCTAGGAAGAAACCCGTGGGAATCGAACCTTACAGTTGCACGTCTGAACTCCTCTGGAAGCATTCCTAGGTTTGCTCCACTCAGCAAATTATACGGACCTAGGGCTGCCTTCCTCATGACTGAACCCATAGTTTTGAAATAAAGTTGGGGGAAAGGAAACAGGTTGCCTTCTCATAGGGAAGCAATCTGGTCTGATGAACACTCATTGTATTGGGAATGGCAGCCTGGGGCTTGTCTCAGCTGTGCTGTTGCTAAGCAACCTTGACCTGCCCTCAGCCACTAGCCTCCAGGCCCCCAGACCTTGGAAGGCTCCCCGACTTCCATGGGAAGGTTCTTTGTCCCACTAACGAATACTTGCTGCTAATCTTTGGCTCTGCCCTCTGGGCCTGAGGCTTAGGAACGCTTTATAGCAACCCACCATGCTGCTCATCCTACCAAGACAAGCTCTGTCCCCAGCACTCAAGGCTGCCAGGTCTGAGGCTGTCTTTAGTTTAGACTGTTACAGAGAGCACACAGAGGATCAACAAATAATTTGAAAAAGAACTCTGTGGTACCTAGGGTGCAGAGACTGCAAGGTGGGCTCTGAATACTGAAAATGACTCTGAGATCAAACCTAGATTTGATGAGAAAGAACACTGAGATTGATTGATGATGTCTGTCCTGAAGGTAGGAATGACAACCTGAGTTCCTTAGCCTTGTGTTTGCAGTATAAAGGAGATTCATCTTTAGAGGTAACAAACTGCCTGGAAAGATACTTGACATCACTCCTAGTGCTCAGGTAAAGGCTGGGGTGGCAGGGATCATCTGTCTCAACAGTTATTTAGGAAGTCAAAGAGGCGGTTATAGAGGAAGGTGTTGAGTGGGTGTCTGGTTGGGGCAACTTGCATCTTGCCATCATCATGTTTGGCTGAATCCCTTCTTCTGCCTCCAAAACAAAGTACATGTGACAAATGTCATAAGCAAGTGGCAGGTACATCAACTGGCATTGGCGTGTTTATGTTTAGGATGCAGTAGAGGGCTCATTCCAGGGAGGGAAGTCTCCAGTCCAGGTAACACTGCTGTTTTCCTGACAGTTCTGGATGAGGATGGCCTTAGCCAAAACCTGTGTTCTGACTTTTCCCTCCCCGTTGAACACTCTTCATCTTGAGCCTCTCCTTGGTGCATTCCCAGTTCAGGGAGCCATACCATCCAGCACTGGTTTGAACACCATGTGTTGGTATAGAGAGAACGCAATGTATAGATTTGACAAGGGCCTGTTGCAAAGGGAACCAAGTAATTGTAAAACCAAAATCATAACATTCGAAACTGCCATTCATTTGGAGATTTAAGTATTCTGTCAATAAATATTTATTAATCAATCACTAGTCTGCCTTGGCTGAGTACTGATCCATGGTTAAGGAAACACACTGTCCTGACCTTCACACTCTCATGTCTGACAGAGAGATGGACCGTCAAAGCACTAATAGTGAGGTGCCGTGCCTTCGGGGTGGGGGGAGCATTGGTAGCAGGAATAGATGGGGTCTTAGCTGAGAAAGAGGAATGCCTTCTGAGACAAGGGCTAGAGCAGACTCAGGGCCATCGACTATGAGGCCAGAGGCCAGCAAGTATTATTGTTATGTTCTTAATATTTGAAATTATAGTGAAGCCACACTATGGGCATTTTGGGAAAAAAATGAATCTCATAATAAAACCAGTCATATCCCACGATTCACTGTTTCACTCTTCAGACAGCCCTGTCCGTTTTCTGCCCATTATTAATCCACTTGCAAACACAGAATACATAAAGCATAATTACAATCATCTTTCTCTTATCTCCTATTTTTCCTCACTTGATATTAAATCAAATACATCATCTCAACCCTGAAGACTTTTGTTCACACTCTGGTACCCGCTGCAGAGACTTCTCCACATTGGAAGCTGATTCTTGGATCCTAGAAGAAAATGGAGATCCAAGAGTCAGAGTCAGATGTACCCTGAAGGCCTACAGGCCAAAGTTTTGCTGGGTGACAGTGGCTGTTTGCGTTCTGCATCCTTGCATGGTCACCAAGAGAAGCTTGGCTGTCAGCCTCACTCTGATTCCCACCCAAGCTCTAGGTGTGAGGGCCTTGTCGATCCAGTTCATCTATTTCCTTATCTCAATCAAATTCATACAGACTCCAGCACAGGCCTGGTCCAGTTCCCAGGCACACACACAAGGGGGACTGAAAGAACGGAGCAGAGTCTTCCAAATGAAACTGAAGTGAACTCACCACTCACAAAGGCGGGGTAAGGACTTCTGAATTTAACCAGACCAACTTCCTGATATAAAAGTACAAAGAAAGTTTTAATAAGGAATTTCCTCCTCTTAGAGTCCCTGAAATAAAGGTAATTCTTTCAGCTTCTGGTGCTAATGTACAGACACTAGGCCATTTCTCTCTGGCTAATATAACTAAAAAATGTCCAGACCGTTTACAACATAAACACACACAGACTTAAGAAAGCAGGTGAACTGAAGGGGGGATTCAGACCAGAAGAACAGTTCATGCAGCCATGAATCCCCGCATCTTCCTCTCCCACATCCACACCTTAGGCTCTAAGGCAACAATGTCCAGAACCACGGAATGGGTACCCAAAAGAGCTCTGCAAGAAACCGTTCCTCCATTCAGGGTGACAGAAGGAAACAGGGCCCTTCCTGGAGCTGACAGTAGTAACTACACAGACACTTAAAGAAAACCCTTCTCTCTGATGAGAAACTGGGGAAAGGGGCCTCTATGTTCCATACAGTACACAGAAGAGAATGCCCGTTATTCAATCACTCTCTCTGCCTCTGTGCTCCTACCCTCTTCTCTTTCCTCCTATGGCTGCTTTGTTTTAGATCTAAGCCCATGTATATTATAACACAGTAGTGAAGAAAAAACCTTGCATTTCTAACCAAATGAGACTACAGAGTAGCAAAGGGATGAGGCATAAAGAGACAGCTGAGGACAGGGACACTCTAAATCTGCAGATGATATTTTGGTTATGCACCAGTATGAAGTCAGTCAGAGGGACTTCTGCAAATCAAAATGTATGTAGACTCCATAACAGACCCAGTCCAGTTCCCAGGAGCACACACAGTGTGAACTGAAAAAATGACAGTCTTCCAAATGAAACTGAAGTGGGGTCACTACCCACAAAGTCAGGGTAAGGACTATTGATCTGAATTTAACCAGACCGGCTTCCTGCTTTAAAATAAAAGCACATAGAAGGTTTTTAATAAGAGTTCATGTGTAATGTTTAAAATACACAGATTAAAAGTAAATGTATATGTGTGTATGTGTGTGTGGTGTGTGTTTATGTGTGTGTGCATATGTGTGTTTGTGTGTATGTGTGTGTGTACAAATAGAACAGAGCCCCCAAAGCCTCAGCTCTAAGCATGTCCTTGCTTTGTAGATGTGAAATTTGAGTTGAGATCCCAGCACCCAGGCAAAAAGGCGAATGTGGCTATGTACTGTTTACTCAAAACCCCAGTGCTATGAGGGACAGGAACAGAAGGATTGCTGGGGTTTGCAGGCTAACAGCACAGCACCAGGTTCAGTGAGAGACCCTGCCTCCAAGAAATAGAGTGAAGACCGACAAGACATCAGTGGGCTCTTCTGGACCCCACACTCACATGCACACACACACACACACCTGTATACCCACATGCACAAAGATTACACACAGATTTATACAAACACACACACAAAGAAAGAAAAGGAGAAAAGAAAACAAAGAAAAAAATAGCCAGCTATTCACTGGATAGTTCCAGAATATGATGCAATCACCCAGCAAACAGGTGGAGAAAGGTGAGGTTAACAATTGGCTGGACTCCACTTCTGGCAGCTGGATTTAGTGACTGCTGTTAAAGCAGTTGGCCCTTGAAGCTCCTTCATCTTTGTAGGGACAAGTACCAAGTGGAATAAAGACCTTCTGTTGTCGTTGATGGTAAAGGAAGAGTCCTCAGATAGAGCCAAGCCGCTATCACAGCCCTGAGCTACCCACCCCTGGCTTTTGCTTCCAACACTCAATATTCTATCTTGACTTCTATCGCCTCTTATCTCTAGTTTCTCTTGCAACTGAAACTCGATCCATACAGGTTGTGACAGGAGAGTGCCCGAGGCAAATAAGAATCCATGAAGCAAATCCAATTCTTTTGACACACTGCTAGTTATTTCCCTGGGGCACAGCCGCCTGCGGGTGCATTCCCTTTCTCAGTGCTTGGTGTCCTATCTACCAGCGTGCTGGAGCTGTCTACGGTGCTGACCCAGCCCAGCTGCTTGCTTGGGTTCCTCTGTCCTGGGGCTCTGGAAAGACTTTCATATGGTTGACTGTGATGTTGGAGTTGGCCTGTGAAGTAAATATGGTTGGGCTTATATTTTACACCCCAAGATCTGTCCCTCCTGCTCAAAGCCAGCCATATTGAGAACATCTGTCACTGACTTCCACGACCTCCGTGTCTGTGGAAGAACAGTAACTCCTGTCCATTTTCCTCATGCACATATCAGTCCCTGCTCTGTGGCCACATGCTGGCTATGGAGTACAAGAGGCAAGGAAGCAACTGTGGCAGTGACTTAATAAATTATGTCTCATAGTGTCTATGATCCACGAGGACCTTGTTCCTGCCTTTGGCCATGAAGGTCCCAGAAAAGGTGACTTGTACCAATGATTATCACCAATATACTCCAGAATTGGCCCCACTGAGAATGCGAGCACTTCAAAGAAATGACATGCTAGATTCTTTTGGAAATGCAAAAATGGTTCAAATACCCAGAAGGTTGAATTCTCGTATCTACCACCAAAAAAGGGGTGGGGAGTAGAAAAAGTAACTATGACAGAGTTAAAACTAGAAACAAAATCAGCTTTCCATCCCCTTCTCCAACTCATGTGTCCTGTGACCTGTATTCCATCCTCATTACTTAACTCACCTTCTGTCTCCTTTCTAAATGTTACAATGTAACCACACCACTTAACACAGCTGGGCTTTCCTCTAGTTCTATTGACCATTCATGCAATAGGAAGAAAGCATGAGCAGTAACCAAAGATATTTGCCATATTGACCCAGTTAGAAAAGGTTGTCATTTTTAATGTAAAAAAAAAAAAACAACTTAAGTAGGATCTGAAGAGATGGGCTCAGCAGTTAAGAACACTGGCTGCTCTTCCAGAGGACCTGGTTTTGATTCCCAATACCACATGGTTGCTTACAATTGTAACTCTGGTTCCAGGGGATCTGACATCCTCCTCTGGTCTCTGTGGACAACAAGAATGCACATGTTACATAGACATACATGTTGGCAAAACACACAAATACATAAAAATAAATCTTTTAAAAAGTAATTGAATTAAAACATGAAAAAATATCTAAGTGCTACTTGAGCAAGCTTAATCTAGATTCTTTGAGGCTAAAAGGCCACAAAAAGAGAGGGTCTAGCTGACTTAACTGTCTCAACTGAGCCCAGATCAAGCGTGTCCTCCACTAGAATCCAGCTGTGTGTACAGGCCCAAGAGGAAGAGCAGAACCACCCAGCTAATTCACAGAACCCCAAGACATGATGAGTCACTGTTGTTTAAGCCACTAACTTTATTTTTATTATGTTTATTATATACATAATATGTAGATAGACATCTCTATTTTTATTATATTTAGTCATGTATACGTTGTGTGCAGAGGTGCATCTGAGGACATTGCCCGTAGAGGTTTAGAAGAGAGCATGGGATACCTGGATCTGGGTGGCAGGTGGTAGTGAGTCACTTGACATGAATGCTGGGAACCACACTTAGGTCCTCTGAAAAAGAAATGCATACTCTTAACTGCTGAGCTATTTCTCCCATTTCTGATTAAAGCATTAACTTTTGCTTTATTCATTAAGCTGAACTGAATAGCCAGTAGGGACTATTCTTTCTGTTTGGGTGTTTCTACTAATTCTGTGAGTTCTCTTGACAAGCAAGAGCAGAATTCGTATTCTCTGGGTTGGTGGTTCTAGTCTCCAGACCTGAACTAGGTGCCTATCATATGCCTTTACTAGGAGATAAGAATGTAAAACCGGATAAAGCAAATCCTTTGGAGAGAGAAGATGGCAGAAGACACTCAAGCATGGTTGGCCAGGGTCTTCAGGGAACAATCTGAGGACAGCTAAAAATCAAGTCTTGACATGCCCACTGGAGCAATAATGGCATATTCATGTCATGAGTAATCAATCAATTGGATTTAAGTCCACTGTACAAGATGAAACCTGTAGACAAGTCATAGACTCTAAGAAAGAACCTATTGTTATTATCTTGCCAAATGGACATAGTAATTAAACCAACTCCTAAACTTATTATTATAACCATATATTAACATATCTTTCAACTGTCAGTCAAAGAC